ACACACACACACACACACACACACACACATCTCAGTCTTTCTGAGCACACATGTTAAAGTCATCACCCCTGCTCAGCGCTAGTAAAACACAACACCCCCGGCTTCTCTGCTGTTGTCAAGTCTTGCCATTAGCTGATGCCACTGGGGAATCCTACCCTAGTGAGGTGGGTGTCCCTCGGGAGCGTCAGGCACCACGTTACGTTCAGCCGCCACTCATGTGAACCCAAACATGTGAGCATAATTTGGAAAATATCATTTATACTGTGCGTCTTTGTACGTGTCTTGACATTTACAAACTGCGATAAAACCGACATGAGGGAGGAGGGAATAGAAAACAGGGCGAGAATAATTTGAGGTAATGTTTTGCTTAGTGAACAGTATTACCCAATCCTGGATGTTGGAGCAATGGGAAGGACGTTCTGGCTCTGGTGCAGCAGAGAGGGTCTGGGTTTCATTTCTCAGCAAGTGCAAGCCAAAGGAGAGCTGCCAAGTACAGCTTTTGCTCTCAACACTTCCTGCTCTTCCTACTCTGGCTCGGGAGGAGACAGGCTTCACTCAAACATCACGTCGATTTAGGCAGGGCTGGCCAGTTTATTCTCCAATTTCTCAATGGGTGTCAAAAACTCACATCTGTCACATGAATTACACCAAACACAGCCATAAATAAAATGCTGGGATGGATATATTGTTAAGCCGTGTAAAAAAGCTGTGTGCAGGTGTTTGCATGCGTGTGTAAACATAGAAAGAGAGCATTTCCTACACACGTTAACAGCTTTAAATGACTCACTGTGAAGCCTAAAAAAACATTGCATTGCAGGTCCCACGGCTCAATGGTATAATGTATAAAACCCAGAAGGAACACCTGCAGCAATCAACGCTCTATCACAACAACAGTGACCCTACCCGCTGCATCATTTTCATTATGGATGGTGGGAGCACAATGCTAGATTAACACTACCTACTGAATACCGTCTTAATTGCCCCTCCACAGATGCAGAGAAAACAAGGCATTTAGTTCACAAACAGACTTCTCTTTGCAGGTTATCAAGACAGCCGCTCGGTGAAAACACGCCCTCCTTTCCAATGCTGATGTGCAATTAAAATGGTTTTAGAAATCCTCTTTGACAGTCCAGGGCTTAGCCAAAAATGTAAATGACATTAAAGGAGACAATGAATTTAATTTTGTTTAATGTCCCCTTTCGCTGATTCTCATTTACATCACATTTCCACATAAAGGGCTGACCTTATAAATACTGGCATTTGTTCAGCTTTTGGAGGTAATCACGGTTTTGCAAAAACCAGATGGGAGCACACACATTTCCCGATTTGTTTCTTAGAAGGCCGAGGGAACCACATGCGAGACGTTCTAAGGCTGCGGTCTTTTGTTTCTGGTAAACAACTTGACAACAAGTCAAGTGCACTCTGGGAAATGACCTCGTAGGTGTTCCACAAATGAACGATAACGCAAAGTCATTTAGAAAATACAGGCTCACTAATGAGGGACATAACGGAAAGCTAAGCAAAATTTACATTAGGCCAAAATGTAATCACATTAACACACGAACAGGTGCGGTGAGGCCTTTATAAATGAGCTAAATGAATAAAAGCCTCCCACAGCACAACCATGTGTGCTGACCAAAAAAAGAGACAAGGGGAAAAATAAGGGAAAAAACAAGTCAATGTCATGAATTATTCAGTGGCTGGGCTGCTCTCCAAAGGTCAGTGCTCTTTGACCTTTGTGACAGGAAGTGAAAGGGAGTGCCGTAGCCGCTGGAATAAATGGAGCTGACATGTTTAGTTCTGGTCCAGAATCCGTTTGTGAATGGCAGCGTAAATTGACACAAGATGTTAAACTGTATGAACATGAATTAAATCCAAAATTCATATATGGGTAGAGTACACATTGATATCACATTCTCTCTCCGTTCGTCTCGATTCCACTTGCATAAATTGCCCCGGCTTCCCAGAGTAAAAAGTGACCTTTGAACCCTGACATGCAGAATGAGTCATTTTCTCTCCTCTTTCAACAACATGTGCTGTCTTATTACAAAATCCATGTGTAAGCCTGAACAATGTATCTAATCTTTCACACAAGAGAAGACAAAGTCAATATGCAAGAGAGTGAAGACAGATTCCAGACCAGGAGAGTCATCGCAAATTGAGTTATGTTTGGCTATACACTACATGCACTGTAAATGGGAAAACCATCTAATCAGATATTGGGTACCTCATCACTATAATTCTAAAGACTCAAATTACTGACTGAATAAACCTACACCCCCACTTACTTTAAGGCATCATTAACTTATAAATGTGACATGTGTAGCACTGCTGGATTTATAAAAAGGAGAGATGATTATACTGAACTGCAAAGCCATGTGGTCATGGCATAAGTGCTACAATTAGTCACTAGATAAATGTACTGTATTTTTTGTATTTAATGTAAGCTCCAACTGTATGGAAAAAAGTATGCGACCACTGTTGAAACACAATAGGCTTTTTTTTATAGACTAAAATATGTACTGACTTTCCCAAACGATGTTGAAATTTGAATCACAACACATAAAAACTCACCCAAATGCAACAAAAACAGGCCTTTCTTCATCCAAAAAAGAATTATGAATAATGCAAGGGCATCAAATGTAAGTGCTGAAATATTTAAAGACCAAGCAGTGCTGAAACTTTGTGACAGCTGTTGGGCCTATATCTAACCAACTTTTTTTTAAGAGGAACCCTTCCTCTTCAAAAATCTGTCTGAAAATCTGTATCAAAACTCTGAGAGAAAATAGGGTAAACAGATGTCTGGCTTGACCGCAGGAAAATAGGACACATTTGGAATGATAAGTTTCCCAAACTCCGTTGGATATGCCAGATCCATGGGAACGCCAGTTAATGTCTTGCTAGATGCCAGCTAGCTGTGTGCGCTTTCCCCTCTTACCATCTGGGAAAATGTTACAGGGAATGAACGCCATCAATGATTCACTCCAAATCTGTTTCTTAAGGTTCGGCCATGCTACTGTTTCTCTCGGAAATGTGGCAGTGCTAGCTGGTTTTCATACTGTAATTGTAGACAGATGAGACATGCCTGATTCAACAATCAAAACTTGGTTTATGTCACTCAACTATGTTCTACTCAATTGGAAATAATCAGTTTCTGCCAGCAGCGGCCGCAACACAGGTGCCTGTAATGATGTGCATGAGAAAATAACAGATGTAAAAGAAATGCCTGTAAAACATGGAAGCTTTAACTAAAAGCTTATCCATATGCACATCGTGAAAAGTCAAGCAATTGCGGAAAATAATCGTGCGTAGTGAGAGTGTTCTGGCCATATCCGTAACTCACGCTAAACCCTGCAACCTTTCACAGGCACCCCACTCTGCGAGTCACTGGGAACCTGTGTGGGTCTGTTGGGGTGAGCTGACGGGCTCATAGTTACGACATGGAGACAATGGGAGGGTCTAATGAGGAACATATGCTTTTGTGTTTCAACAGAGCCGCTCATTGTGCAAGGAAAGGGATACTCTACTCCTATTCAGACTCGTCACAATGAAAATCCGAGCCCTCCCAGAGCCAGTTGAGCTTACAATATCCATCCGCTTCTTTTTTCCCTGTTCTTTTTTTTCCCACCCCTCTTTCTTGACTTTAATTCTCCATGCATTCATTTTGCTTATTGTACTTATGTTACATGTTTTGTCCTGCAGATTGAAGAACAATGGTGTGCGAAACTCTAAGCACTAAAAGGCAGCAGAGCGACACAAAGCAAACATGAAAGCGGCGGAAATTAAGCAAAGTAGACGTCTCAAGTTATATGTTAATGTTAGCACTATCCATTCACTAACAGATGCACTTGACTAATAAATTAAGCAGTCTGTCTGGTATCTGATACAGCTAAAAAAGTACTCTTCTGACATAGTCCTAAACACCTCTACTTTTTTTGTAAGCACTGTGACTCTCGAGCATAAACATACAAGCACCATGCATGCCTACGAGGATGTGCATGCTTGTGTGTTTGTGTGTGTGTATCTACGTGTGTCTGTGTGAGTTTGAGTTCAGACAGCAGTAGCTCTGGTAATCCATCCAGGCTCCCAGGGCAGCCAGCTCCTACTTCCTGATGCATGAGAAGCCGCTGGAGTGGAGTGGCAGCAACAACTGCTCAGCCCTATTTGATTACTAATAAGAGAGTTGTCCCCTCTGTCAGATACCAGGCATTCTCCACTAAGCAAACAGTGATTCCGGCTAGTCAAACATTAGCATTGCTGTCTCTCCCTGCTACGTGGCGAGAGTTACATTGAGATCGACTCTCAAACTACACCCCCTACCTCACCCTATCCACAACGCACACACATCCACTAAACTGCCTAAACATATGCACTCTGACCAGGACGTATAGTTTCACAGTGTGAGAAAAATGTCAATGCTTGAAAGAAGAGCGTTTATTCCCCCTCTTTAGAAGGTGATGAAGGTGCTATAAATGTGGCGGACGAGACAGTAGACATAAAATGTTTATCCCTTCTAAAGCGAAAATGTAATGGCATCTAGCTCTCAGCTAACTTGAGCGAAGGAAACAGTCAATGAAAAACAACTATTGACACTGTAAGCATCACTGTCGTAAACAATGAAGGGAAGCCAGCCAGATAAATGTGAAGTTGCCTATAAGCTAATTAGGTGTATTCCCAGCATGATCCTCTAGTGATTGAACCACCTGTGATTGAACAAACCCTATCCAGGTGGTGACCGCCCCTCGGTGCACAGGTACCTGGGAAAGACGCCCCTCAGACACTCACACAGAATCACCCACGGTTCCCACACTGAGGCTATAAGATGCAAGTCAGCCCAACGGGGCCGTCTGGCACACCGGGAGGGAACTCATTTGTTCATCCATGTGCCTGCTCATCCACTCAGTCACTCATCCATTTAGTCACTCAGACACTCACCCATTCACTTACTCAGTCCCCGTTCACAAACACAGTAGAAGAAGAAGAAGCTGCACACTGCCTACCTGTCAATGATCACAGGGTCTGATGGAGTCTCGTTCCTGTTTCCGCAGCTTTTCTTGTCACAGCATCGGCTAGAGGAACACAGACAGGGTGTTAGAGAACAAGCAATACTTTTCTAAATAAATAAATACAAATAAATAAATAATGCACAGAAAATCACATACATGTATTAAGTGCCTAGGAGTAGTTTTGATAGTGGGGGGGAAAATTGTCATGAGATTTCCTTCACTCAATCTATCCATTCCATTGATGCTGATGGCTGATAAAAATGGTGAAAACAACATGTTGTGTTGTTTGGCTTAGTGTTGGAGGGGAGGGGAGTGGGGATTGGGCCAGGAGGCAGGGGAGTCACTTTTCACAGCTTCAGCTTTTGTTTACCTCTAATTGCCAAGCTGCTATTTCTGAGGGAGATGCAAGGTGCCACCCTCAACCAATATTTCTGCAGGGCATTTATCAATTATGGCCTCAAAAGCACTAATCTATCTTCCACCACATGTTTCAGCCATCTCCACCCTAAGCCTATAGCTAGCTGACTTTTACTACTTTGATTGGGACTTGAATCAAAACTGCAAAAATAAACAAATACATCATCCTAGTTTCCATTTGAAATGAAAACATATAAACATATGTGAATAAGATTGATTTATTCCATATGGTGCTGAAGGAAAAACAAAGATTTTGTGCAAAGCTACTGTCAGTCAGCCACACATTATTTAAATATGTCTGATTTACATGACTTTCTAGCAGCAGTAATAAAGATGTGTTTTATAGCTAAGGTGCCGCAGTGTATTACAGCAAGAATATAATTTAAAAACTATATGTATGACATGCCTAACAAATAAGATATAATAAGTTAAGACATGAAAATATTATTCTTATTATACTAGTTCTTATTATGTATATCTTCTTATCTGATAATAGGCAGCAGTTAAAGTAGTTTTTTATTCAGCAGCAAAACGCACTTCCTCTTGACAAAAAAATATTACCTCTAGAGCACGAGCATATTCAACGTGTCACAAATAAGTGATGGATGCATGTATAAATTGAGCGTGAGTGATGAGTTTATGCATGGAAAAAGACAAATCATTCTCAGCTCTCATGCTGCACTTGCTCTCAAGCAGTAACTTGAACAATGCACCGGTGCAACAAAGGAGAGGTTAACCGACAGTATCCGAATTCAATGTTCACAAAGCTCATGCTGAGCTCAACAATAACAACAAAAGGCGTTTTTCCTTTTAGTATCAATGACACCGCTGAATAGCAGCGCAATATGAGAGGTTGAGATTTACGTGGTTAAATGACGCTAAAAGGCTCGCTGATCATTGTTGACAGGTGGGATCAACCGAGAACTGACTCTGTGCTAAAATGAAGGAAAGAAATTACACATGGCATGTAACGCCTCTGCATAACTTAACAGAAAACACAGGCTTAAATTATGTCTTAGAAAAGAAAATTAAAGATACAAATGTAAAAGCATAACTCATGCCCTGTGTCTGACTGTTTATCATACACTCAATTTCAAGTCACTGAAAAGACAGTTATTTTCCCTGTCATATTCATATTCATATCAAAGTTGAATCACAACATATCAAAGTTAGAAATGACAGCAGCTCTCTCTGTGGTTGCTGGAGGACCACAGGACAGTCTGGATTGCTACATCACATCATGAGTGTCAAAACGTATTGAAGGGGAGGGAATTACTTTTTGCATGGATCTGCAAAATGGACAAGAAGAAAAAATAATGCTTACCTGCACATAATTTCATGGGTAAGAAGAACTCTGCACATTTCTGGATTCTTGTCTTGACCCTCATAAATTATGGCCTTTGAAAGGAAATGAGATGGAAATAAAGTGAAAACAAAGACACTTCTTAAACACACATTAATTCACACAAATAATTACACTAACATGTTTGATATTTTTTCACTTCATAAAATAAATCAGGGCATGAATACACATGATCTAAGGACAACAGAATATATTAGAAGAGTGCAAAGGCTAATTCAAATTGAGTTAAGATAATCAGAGCAAAATCAGTGTTATAAATTATATTATTTCATAAAAACATCAATGACATCAACCAAATTAAACAATTACAAAAATAACTATGACTAATAATACAAATAACAACACCTTTTTGTAATGGCAGCTATAATAAAATTAATGCTAATGATTAAGATGATAATAATAACATTAAATTGTATTTTTTTTATTAATCTCGATAATATCCTGTGGCTCAGAGAGGCAGACAGAGAGACAGAGAGATTTTCATAAGGAGAGATCCAATAGAAGTGTCATCAATATGCTTATAATCTGGGGATATTTGGGGGAAAGTGTTAATGGGCAATCTGTTGTTTATTTTGAGCCGCTAACAATGATCTTTCTGTGGATAAAAAGCGGTGTCTGGCGGTACGGTTGAGTAATTTTTGAGCATTGGCTGAAACAGATGGCGTGGAGCTATCAGTTCTGCCGCTTTTCTCTCCCTCCCTCGATCCCTCCCTCCTTCTTCCATTTCTAAGGATAGACACTTCACTCCCTCGTATTGAACCGGCACCAAGTGCAAACGCAGGCAAAGCACCACATTATTGACAAAATACGTTTTTTTTTTTAAATAATATAAATAGGCTACACGTAAAAATACAGCCTTACATTTATTTTATTTTTTTAAGCAATTTATATTTTTTCAGGATTTTTTTTCTGCAACGCGTGAGGCCATAAGAGATATAATATGGGAGATTGACTTTGGAAAAAGTGACATATCTGAACCAGGTCGCATCACTCTCCCGCTTTTAAACGCTGTTCTACTTGACCTGATGTGTTTTTTTCCTTGCCTTTTTTTTTTAATTCTAGGAACCGGGCGATTATCTATATTGGTTTGATTTATGGCGGTGTTTGCAGCTGTAGAAACAGAAATCCATAAATTGCTTGTTCTGCGTCATTGACTCGGATCATTCGCACAGGAATGTAGACTGTGACCATGCAGTGGCCCAGGCTTCACGGCTCTATTCAGAAGGCTCTACCTAAACCCTTCATTTAATAAGAAAACACCAGGTGGAGAGCTAAAATAAGGATGTATGATTTTATTCCCCAAATTATAGTTCACTTTACAAATCTTTGCGTTGGCTTCATGTGCTTTAAGACATTATTATTGCATTATGCGCGTTGGGCTCTGGGTCAGAAATGTTTGCGAAGAAGATAAGTGAAATGCACCTCTGCAAAAATATGTATATTTATAATTAGGCTATAATACTTGACACTTTTTTAAATATATATATGTAAAGAGCGTCACCTTTGACTCTTTGCACGAAAAGTCAAATCAGATCATATGGAGCAGACGTAGTGGTTAAATGTTTAATGTGAGCCTACAAAGAAGCCTAACTCAGGCAGAGTTAAATTGACTTTGGAGTCTTGCAATATGATATGGCCAAACCTAAACAGTTAAAATGAAAGCTGTCTGTTCTTGTTACACCGGTAATTTTATTTTATTTTGTGCCACAACTTCCAATTTGCATGCAGATTTATTTATTTAATTTTTTTTTTTGGAAACAGTGTGGTGCATGCATCTCAGGGGTGACGAGATTTGCACGGCATGTTAAGGTTTTGCACAACTGAACTAAGCATGTGAGCAGGTTTTGCACTGTATGCGTATAGAAACAAGTGTAACAGCAGCTTACCTGCTTCGTCATGGAATCGATTAACCGTATGTAAAGATCCTGTTCTACTCTGACGCCTGGGGAGACAAAAAAGAAGGCCACTTGTGAGTTTTGAAAAATTGCAATGCATTCAAACAGAACAAATAGAAAGCTCTCCCAAAAAAGTTAAAGAACATCTCGTAAAAAATATCAACAGTTCAGATAGTTAGTACATTTATAAATACTGCTTTTATTATTAATATTGTAATATTTATAATTACTATTATGATTATTACCAATATTTTTGTATGTGGTTTTATACTGAAGGACAAACTCATGTCTGATATATCTGCAAGTGTTTGCAAAATAATAAAGACAGTTTAACTCACCATTGCTGTATAATAACTGTAGTTTGTAATGTATCCCATTGTTAGTTTTTTCACTGGTTGGTTCCTGCAGAAGACAACAGTTTGTAAAAATCAACAGAACATGCCCATCACCACCACATGTCTCTGTGTTGACAAAAATGCATACTTTCTGTGCAAGAAGAAGAAAAACAGGTTTAGTTTTTAAAACGACTCTCTGTCATCAAAAAATTGAGTTTTTAAAAAATCAATACGACATGTGACTTCCCCTTGGTAACCCATTGCCATTTCAGGGAACATCATTTCGATACATGTGCTGATTATGTACAGGGGTGCAGGTTATTTTTTCTCAAATACAACGCTTACTTTATCTTTCTCCACAAAGTCCACAAAAGCTGTCCTTTCGATCTCCACGGGCTGACCCTGCCTGTCATACAGAGCCAGGACGAAATGGAAAAAATTGGATTTTCTGAGGTTGGAAGGGGGCTGCTTTTCATAATGTGCCCGTGCCAAGCCGACACCGCTGCGGGGAGAAAACAAGAGACCATGTCGGTTAAGCACCGGACACCGGGGATACTAGATGATGGAGAAGCTGATGGAAACATTGGAGATGCAGAAGCACGCTTGAGTACGGGGGAGATTTCTTGATTTGTCACAATAATGGGTAATCTGATGTAATGAAAGAAGGGAAAGCCGAAGGGGGGGCATTTATTGGGAGACCGTAATTGATACAGAGTATTCAGGGGATTGAGGGGTCGATATGATGAGGAGGGAATGCGTGAGAAAAATCAGATGCTTTTGGCATGCGTACCTTTGGGCGGCTGTGTTTGCATCCACCACCCCAGCTGTGTGCATCCAGGAGCGGACCGAGTTCAGTCCGAGCGGTTCCTCCTTCATCGTCGTCCCACCCCGCGGTATAGTTTCCTGAATTCCAAACATTTAGGACAATTTGCGTGAAAAAGAGCCTCCTGCGAAATAAGGGAAATAAACCTCCAAGCGTGTTATCCTTTAGGGTTGGTTTTTTTTCACAGGATAAGTAGCGAGAGCCGATTCACACTTGCGAGGGAAAACCCGGTCCACAGGTCTTGCCTCCCTCTTCAGTCCGTCCGATGTGAACAATTCTCAAAGTGCTGTACTTAGTTAGAGCGGTATCCACAGACTGCAAAAGTGAATTGTTCAACAGACAAGATTTTTTTTTGTTGCTATTGTTCCTCTATGTTTTTTCTTTTTCTTTTTTTTGTGCTATTCACAGAAAAATCGATGGCAGTTGTTGTATGTTTGTGGGTGATGCTGCTCTCAAAGTGCCCACATCCCTGAAGCACCGCATCCAAAACCTTCAGGACTTCTTGTTGAATAAAAAACCCACTCCTGAAAAGGTGCTGCTGCTTCTCCACAAGACAAACACAGGCAAAGGCTGATCACCAGTGGAGGTGTTCCTTGTACACAGGAGAGGTGGATAAGGGGCCCTTTCGCGTCGTGCAGGATGGATGGGAACATGCAAAACTAAGCCCTCTTTCCCCGAGGACTGAAATCTTTCCCGGGAGCCAAAACTCTAAACCCACGGGAGAGGCGCTGTCAGAATATGACGCTGAAGAGGCGGAGCTTTGCCCAAATATGGAGCTCTGACGCTTCCTGTCAAGCAGTGGCGCTCCTCTGTACGGTGCAGCCCAATAGTGCTGCAGCCCGAGAACACTCATTCGCTCCACTTTTCCTCTTGCTTAGGCCCTATATGTGGTGAGTTTGATTTTTTTAATGATATGGAAAATTCGACCGGGTGTAACCATCACACATAATGAGAAAAAATATAAATAATAATACATGATAATAACTCGGAATTCCTTGCTTATTATTTCTAGCTGGCCTGATGATTGCAATTTCCGTGATTAGTTTTATTATTAGAATTAATAGTCTTTGACATATTTATTCGATTAAATTTGTGATTATTACAAATTGACTTGATGAGATTGTTTGTTCACTAATGCATCGAAAGCATCTCAATAGATACGTGAATACAGGCCATAAATCATATTTCAATAACAGCAGATCATGTTTCTTCATATAACTGATATATTTCTATTGTGCATGTTTAACTCCATGCTGCGGGTTATTTTACTGTAATTACAATGTAATTAATTTAACACTGATTTCACAGAATCAGACATGATTATACATTTATTAATTTACATTTACTTTTCATTGAAAATGTTTAACAACAGATGATTTACTTTTAATTGTTTTGCATGGCAGAGCAGAGGATTTATTTAATTCATGGCGTTAAGAATAACATATGAACAAAGTTTGAAACCCAGTTCCTTAGTATCCATATTATTAATGTGAAAACAAATCAATCCCACCGCTGTGCCATTTACAGAAGATTACTTTTTATGGGATGAAAATCAGAGCCACAGTGTCTCATGACATTAAACAAAGTTCAGGAAATCCATGGTTCTGTGTCTTCTTTATTTCATGCACGTCTTGAAAAATCAGTAATAATCAGAAACATCTTAATCATTTTTAAAGAGCCAACTGCCATACATGTCCGACTCTGTCCGAGAGGGGCAAGCAAGCAATTCGGTTCATTAGTGGTGAAAAGGAGGAGAGGATGGAGGGAGAGAGGGGAGGGTGCGAGGAAGAGAGATGTGTGCTATATCCTGAGCAATCTATCTAGCTGGTGCTGAGGGTTAATAGCTGCTGCCAAAGATAAGTGAATTATAAGCTGTTGCTTTCACCTCTACACAATCTATTGCCAAATTGCCCAGTCACAAAACGAGGGTGTGGATTTTATACTATTTTTATTATTTAAGAAAAATCCAAGATTTCATTTGTGGGGGTAAAAAAAAATCAAAGGGGCCCTTTTAAAAAACAAGTTTTTGTTCTATTACATTAAACAAACCGAGACGCATGTTGGAAATATTTGTGTCTGTTCTACCGAGATTGCACATTTCTTTTTAGCACACAACTCACTCTGCCTTTTTTTGCTGCACATTTTCAAGTCGCTTATTATAATTTAACCCCTGATTACACGCACCAAGGCGATTTAAATCTGATTATCAAATTAGGAGACTTTGAGACAAATCCTCTTAGATCTGATACTGTTGACTGGAGAAAGAAAATGGATCTCCACACCCGTCACGTAGGTAACGATGCTGTCCTGAAAGGGAGTTTTAAACCGTATTTGACAACAAATGCAGCTGCCCCGCTATTTCAGAAGATATTAGAGGAAAATGAATGCAAATCTGTGTGCAGGAGCCATCTGGACGTGGAGAGAGGGAGTCAGCTGCTCCACACACTGAGGCGCGGAGCCTGAATCCGTCTCAGCTCATTCTGTGGGATCATCTGCGTGGTGGGCTTACACCGTGGAAAATGCGCTCTCCATCATTAGGTGAAATGTTAGCATCAAAATAAAAGAAAATGTTGATCCCCGTTTATTTTAGTCGCTGCATGCATGGCAACTTTGCACAGGCGTGGAATTAGAGGATCATAGTCACATTTTCTAATTTTTCACAACAACAAAAAAAGCTTGCTTCCTAACTGCACTCCTGAGGTAAGTGGGGGGTGAGGAGCAGGGAAACAAGTGCAAACTGTTTGCCTCATCTCTGCATCTTGGCCGCATTGAACCAGGCTGAATGCTCGTTTAAAATGACCGCTTGATGACACGGGGGGCTGTTATCTCTTTCTTCTATTCAGTGGGCACAATAGATGAACCCCTAAAGATTTGGGCTGGACCATTGATATAAAACTTAAGTCCCCGGGACGCGTGGCTCCCAATAAAAATGTACACGGTGACTCCGAAGACCTCCCGTCTCGCCGGGACGAGCTTCCTCCGTATTGAGGGTGACGTCTTCTTTTTTGTGTGAATTTACGGGGCGAGGCCCTCATGATCTCCTTAAATTTGCATGTAAATGGCGACATCAGCCGATACGCGTGCCAGGGGCCAGCGGGCCTCCCAGATGTCAAGGCAAAGTCAATCAGCCGGCCGCTGCCCAGCTGTCCATTCATGCACTTTATTGGGACAACACTTTCATCACGCTCACCTGCATTGTTTCCTAATGAAATGATTGGCAAAAAAGGAGGAAGAAAGAAATCTTATTAGCACGCACCAAGCAAGTTAGCTCACGGCTTTATCACAGAGATTGTTTTAAAGTGATCTTATTCCGATTAAATATTAATCAAATACGCCTACAGTTACGCATCACTCCAAACTCCATATGGAACAAATAGGCAGTCAGCCCACTTATTGTTTACAGCAACTCAATATTATTCCATTGTTTAGACGAATACTATGTTGTTTAGTTAAACTTTAAGTTATATTAAATAATTTATTTGTTTATTTAGGTGTAGCCATATAGTTACATGCCGCGCAAAGAAAATCTCAAATGTTCTTTAATGAGGGGTAGCCTACTGTCTTTGTTTAAATAATCATATCACTTGTAGCTATTTTAAAGGGTCAACTTTTATATGTGTGATTTGAGATTTTTTCTCAAAAGTGGTGGAAAACAGACAATATTTATATATATGAGATCTTTTTCAATTTAAATTAATAAAATGCTTAATACCTCATTACAATGACAGACACCTTGCAAACTTTGTTTCCAGAAGCTATTAACGTTATAGGCCTAATAAACGGACGCGCGACACTTGATATGACATATTCAAATATCAAATTAAAATACAGTTTGAACGTTATTTTTTAATTATAGGGGTAAAACACAAATGGCCAAGAGTGATGAGATCAATCATGTAGGCTGTTCGTGTCAGGCAGTAATAGCTGATAGACGGACAGCGCCCCTCGTTGGTTACACTTGAGATCATTGTGTCGATATGAGGCAGCTGTGTTCCTCAGTGACAAGATAGCTAAATCTCAACATAGGTTTATCTAACACCCCCTCCCCGGCCCCATTAGCGGCCAAAATATTGTTGTTTATGGGAAGGACAAACTATATAAAAAAAATACTTAACCGAGTTTATTATAAATAAATAAAAAACACAAGACTGACGATTTAAATAAAAATAAAAAGCGCATGAATACAGCTAAAGACTAAGAAGAAGACAGCGCATTATTGTTCTAACATTTGAATTGTCACGTTAAGATAAATTGACATTGTTTAAACGCTAATTATTATTATAAATATTATTTAGAGTTGGCTTTACATTCCACGTGTGTTTCTTTTTGATATTGTAGGACTTTTCAAATAAACACAAGCACATTATCTGGTGTGACCTCACATTTCGTCACTAACTTCTGTCAGAGTGTTCATGTTAATTGTGTGCAGTGGTGAGTTCTGTCAAGGGCATTGCCCGTGCGAACAATTTGCATTTCCATTCTGCTGTGGAAATGATGAGAGAGTTTCAGCGCGGTTTAGAGCCTCGCGGCGCAGTCTGTGGGCGAATTACATTTAAAGAAGGCGAGAGAAATTAAATAAGAAACCGAGACCACTTCAGGGCTATTAACATCTAAAATATCCCCTGGAAATTTAGACCAAAATACACATGACCAAATATCCAGCATACCTTCGCTCTTATGCAGCCACGTCTTGATTGTGTCCATCACAGCTTTTATAGGCCTGTCTAAAATTCTTTATTTAAAAAAAAAAAAACGTATCACGCCGGCTCACATTTCTCAGTGGCATTGATGGAAGTGAGGTAAATGTGATTATTCAGCCCTAAATCGGAACATATTAACTTTTAATATAAGCGCTCTAATACCAAACGGAGTGCACTCAGAAAAACGGTTGCAAAAATTTGACTTTAAGGTCATTTACAATTCTCATCAGTAAGTATGATATGTGCACATGTTGCATCGGGCAATGTGGCCTCCAAAACGGGAGGCATCAGCTTTAACCTTGTTTTTTTTTCTTGTTTTTTTTTTTTAGAGCCCATGTGCATGACCACACAGGCAACAGCCTTTCCCTCAATACTCAAGAGAACTTAATTTGCCTGTTGACCCCTATGATGGAGCTACTGCCAACTTCCAGTGATACTGCCCCACCTGCAGGAGTCCCATAATTCTCAAGTCACTCATGTCAAAATGTATATTTTCTACATGTTGCATCAGCGCCTCTAATTTACTCCTAAAGGAATTGCCATCCTTAAGGTGATAAAACAAATGTAATTGGCAAGGTCTCTTTAATATGAGTGATGCAATTCATTATCACTATACATCTGAATTTTGACTTTTGTCAGAGATCTCTATTAATATTGGACTGTGTTACTATTAACAGAAATGTTAATTATGATGTCAAGATGGTGAGAGTCAAGGTGAAAGCAGCACAGCAATAGCTAAAAATAATCCATGCCAGCTAGAGTACAGTATGATCCTGCAGAGGAGTGTTACTGGCAAGGGACCTTTTTGCTGCAACAAAGAGGTGGAAAAGAGGAAGTAAATGAATTAGAGTACAAGCCAGTTTCTGTCTTTGTTTCATCCACACTTGTCCTGTCCCTATTTTCCAACCTCTCCCTTTTCCTTGCTATTGGAAGTGCTGCAAATTGTATAATGCTGGTCTTTGTTCTACAGAGTCAAGCC